GTATTTGGGCTGCACTCTTAGATTTCCAGTGACTCTGCAGACCCTATGGGGGTTTAGAGGAGAAGCCAGGGCTAGCAACTGAGTGAGTATCTCTGCTGCTGCTGCTTCTGGTGTTCCTGAAGCCTTCACTGACACTTCTGCATGCAGACTGACCCCTTTGTGGCCCTTTACAATTTTAAATACATGATATTTATATCCCATTCTTTCCTTTCTATTAAATCCTTCTTTCCTACATCTGTGTTTTGCATGCCCTAGTGAACTGAGCTTGGGTGTGTTTAAAAGATGAGGACAAGAGGGGAATATAAAAAGGGTGTAGTGGTGTTTTATTTTAGCTTTATTAATATTTTTCAAGTAAGCTGAAATTATGTGAAGCTAATAATCATGCTTAGATACTGTAGAAACTGTGTACGGTTGTATTGTGGACAAATTATTTATACTTTTATATAAATTAATCTAATTAATAGCCGGTTTCATTGCTCCATACTGACTCTGCTCATGAAAGTGGGGAGCTCCAGTACATGGCTTTCAGCTTGTAAAGAGCTGCCGTTGAACTTGTGTGCTCTTGCATGTAACCTGCCTGTTTGTTCCAGGTGCACCACCACCTGAGGCTTCTCTGAGCCGTAGCAGATGCTCTCCCGAGAAAGGGGCAGTACTCAGTCCTGAAGTGTACAGTGAGTCAACCCCTGTAAAGCCTCATTTGGGACCAAAGCTGTCAAATACACAGGCAGGGGAGAGCTCCTCTGAACCTTTTCAGCATGTGAGTCTGGATTTTGTAGAGGCGGAAGGTGTGCACACACACCTCTGTGCCACCAGCCAGGGGGAAGCCAAAATTGATGCCAAACATCCATCTGTATTCCAGAAGGTATCAGTGCAGGACCTGGCAGCTGGAGCCTTTTCTGCTATAATTCATCCCTCCTCTTGCACCCAAAGCAGAGTGACGTGTAGGAGAAAACAATCCTTAGCCTGGGGAGCTAAAGTTCCTAGTTCTGTAAGTCATATATCAAAATCTTAACGTGTTTGAGACCTGTGCTCTTTTTCAGCATTATTGTCCCGTGTTTTATTTGCTATATGGCTCTTTACTCCTGATTCTGTCACCTTGACCAGAGGCACACGCTGTGGAACTTGACTGGTGGTCTGATGTGCTGCAGCAGACCATACGAGTGGCTTCATGTCAGCTGGCAGAACCTTGTTTATTTTGCAGCCAGCAATAAGTAAGGCAGTAGCGAGCTGCTTCTGCAGTCTGGGCAGAAGATGGTGCAGTTACACGTGGACAATTCATAGGTAAATTATGAGGCAACATTTTATCCTGCAACTGACCAGAGGTTCTGGCTGCTTCCAGGCAGACAAACCTGGGTACGTACAGTCAGCTGCCTGACTCTGCACCTTACCTTCTTACTCCATGCCCTAAGTTAGCTGATAGCAGGAGGGGGCCCACCTACAGCCCTGTAGTCTGACCTGACCCATGCTCTCCCATGACTCTCTCTATCCCAGGGGTGACGCAGCATCTCTGTGGTTAAAATCTCAATTAAAAAGGTGCTGGCATTGGATAAGAGGGAGGTATTGGGAGAGGAGGCTCTACGGGCAGGAGGTGTTTCTTCAGGACAGTGTACTGTCCCATACCATGTACTACTCTTCTTTAATCTTCTATTTATTTATTTTTAAAGGATCTGTGTAGCAGAGTTGTGCCCAACTGTCTAGTAACGCTGTGATCGTTGTATACACTAATTAAGATATGGGATTTTTGATGTTCTGAATGACAAGTTCTGAAATAAACGGCTTCCGGGCCCTATTTCCACAAACACCTGACTCCAGAGCCTTTTTTTTTTTCCCCCTCTTCCTTTTTGGGTACTTTTTCCACTGTTGCCAGAGCCGCTTTTATCACGTGCACAAACATCTTGGAGCAATGCACTAAGCTGAGAGCAGAGATGTAGCTGCACTGCTCCGTTCCAGGGATGTGTTCTGGCTGCTTCCTGCCTTATGACCCTCTTGATCTTGTCACCTTTTTCCATCTGCTTCTGAAAGTTTTAGTTCAGCTGACCACTCTCAGCCATGAAATGCATTCCCATGACAGCACCCCTGCTTTTTAGCCACTCGTAGAAAAGGAGAATAATTTTGCACGTTGTAGGGATTTATTCAGAGCAGATCAACATTTAAGCTGTTCTTTGGTCAGCCTTTAGTCCTCAGGCATTAACGTGCTATCCTCAAAATTCTCCAGCTCTTCTTTGCTAACCAGAAAAAATGGTTTTCTGGATGGTGCAAGACAAACGTTTCATCAGCTGCCTGGAGGTTCAGACTGCACTAACATGTTGAGGTTCAGAAGAATGTTCAGCAGAGCCCATGGACCTCCAATTCCAAAAAGTTAAAATCCTAGGAAAGAGATTGCAGTTATTAGTGATAACATAATTGTAATGTTTTCCACCCTCCTAAAAACTGCCAAAAGCCAGTAAGGCAGATACACTGTCTTCCTCTGCAGCAAGGAGCTGTGTAAAGCTGGATCCTTTTGCCCAAGCATAGAAAAAGTTCAAAGCTAGGAAACAAGAGCAATGTTGTTCCTGGGTGGTGCTCTGATTTGGGTCTTTACAGACACTGAGTGGTAGGTATTGCTGTCTCTGAGATGATTCATATCATGGTCCTGAGCTGCACTTCTCATTTCCTTTCCAATTCATTCCCTCTTACGGAGCTGAGATGGACGTGTACATCTGCTGTTGATGTCTGTATGTGTGGTGGGGCAAATATTCATGTGTATATGCACTAAAGGACTCTGCACGTTTGCGAAGCATGACACCCTTCCCAGGTCCTCTGGAACCTGAAGAGGTTGGGCACTTTCTGCTGCAAGATTGACGAGTTCCTTGCTGCTGTTAAAGGCATGTCCTGCTTGCAAGCACCAAGAGGCTGGTTGGCTCAGATGTTGTTCAGCCTGATTAAGCTGGTCGGGATTGTTGATGTCTGCCTCATACTAGCAGATAAGTAGTTTTATAAGATATTTTAAATCATGATCTTAAACCTAGACTGCTTCTTCTGCGTGTGCTAGCACTGCATAATTTTGCTGCATCGTATTTGTCATCTCCAAGCGAGTGGCACATGCGTAAATCACCCCACAGCACAAGACTGAGATGCACATATTCCTCCACTCTCTCTCTTACTCTTGGCTTTCCTCTGACAGATGAAAAGCTGTGTTTCTGCTCTCATCTGTCTCAGTGTTTCCATCAGAAATGATGTTAAACCTCTAAATGTTGCAGCCTGATGACATGATGCAAAGTCTGGTATCTCTGTTTGAAAATGTATGTGTCCACTTCATACTTTGTTCAGTACTTTGTCACTACTGATTTGACAAGAGTATTTAATATCTGCTTTTAACTAAAGAATCTTACAGGAGATCCTTAAAATATCTTGTTCAAATTCTAGACATTTTCATGCATTTCATTCAGTTGTTAAAAAATAATACCAAGTTCCCATACTTTCAACACTGTGGCCTTCTCGAAACACTCATTTTGAGGGTAGGAGAACACAGGTGAGACTCCAAAGCAGATTCCTCTGATGTACTGGGATAACTAACCTGCACACACAGGTTAAGATCAGCACATGATTTCAAGGAGGAATGCAAAGAAAATAGAAATAGGAGTAGTTTTGTGCCAGATCATTCAGTTTAGGTTGATTCTTAAATTGTAAACCACTGCAAAGGTAGACAGGGAAATGTGAGTATCACAAATTAATTGTGTAGTTTATTTGCCTATAAACCACGTAACGTGACAGTGCTAGCTGCAACAGCCATGTAAAATGCAAAGTCCTTTCCTGTAGTTACATTATCAGTAGAATAGAAGTCAGTTTGAATCCGTGTTACTTAAAAATCAAGCTAACTGGTGAAGATATTCTTAAGTGCATGTTGTCTGTTCTCTCTCCTGTTGGGTTCTCAAATTGGAAACACTTCTATGGCTCCCTGCTTTCACTTGCAAAGAACCCCTTGGAAACAACTTGGAGACCTACCTAAACACTTGCAATTATTACTGCCAATTTAAAATTTTCCTAGGGGCTATAATTGAAATTTTTTCCACACTAGAAGCAAGATGATGCCTGGAGCGTATGCTATGGGAGCACAATACCCTCTGAATGACTGCTCTTGTGGCTAATTACCATATCCAGAGAGAAAAAAATGATAACGGTTTAGGCCTCAATTTAGGATCAGGAAACCCAAGTTTGTGTCTCAGTTCTATCACAGAGTTTTAATGTGACCCTGGACAAGTCACTTCACTCCTTTTTACTTCTCTTTCCCATCTGTAAAATGAGGGCAGTGAGTCTCACAGAAACATAATAAAGGCAAATGCATCAAAGGGGCTTGAATGTTAGTTTTAAAGCAGAACATTTGTGCTTAAGTCTTCATCTAGGTATTCATAAAAACACTTCTCTCTATACTGACATCAGAGATGCTGATTCTGGTTTGTAAAGACAAAAAAATAAGCAGATAACTACTTGCTACCCAGAGTCGTGGCATTGTCAGCATGTTCTTTGCATGTGCACATGACAAACATCAGAAGTTCTCTGTTGTTGGCCCTCTCTGTTTGGAATTGGTAAAGCACCCTGATGCTTTACATCAGGATAATTTTCTCAGGGAGAAAACCAATAAGCTGTAACTGCTTGCACCTGAGATTCTAAACTGTCCCACCATTTTTTCCCACCCCATGTTGCAGGACAGGTTGGTGCACAGTAATTTAAGTAAGGTTGAGCACTTCTTTCTTGCCCAGTTTCAAAGGGGAAAAACCTTCCCATAACCCTGAGCATTTTATATCTTGCATTCTTGCACTGAAAAATTAGTACAAACCTGGTAACAAAGCAAATGTTTGTATTCAAGAGCTACAATCAACACCATAGTTCTGGTCCAAAAGAAACAAATTCTTTTCCATTCTATTGAGGTTGTTGCATCCTGGTTCCCCTGGTTAGAACTGAGAGAGGGAGTTCCTGGAACATACTCGTTGCTAAATGCTTGTCATGCCTGTCATTTGCAGGTACCTCTCCGGGGATTCGATTACTCTGTTTTCCAACGGCACTGGGACTGGCTTCCCTTCCTCCGCTACGTCTCTCTTTGTCCCAACACCTCCCAGTATTCTCCAGCTGACAAACCAGCAGCTCTTCAGATCCCCACGCAGGACTTCTTCTTCCTCTCTTCCTGGACGTCTCAACAGGGCACTCTCCCTGGGTACCATCCCCTCCTTGGCCAGAGCAGGTAAGGTGTGTGTGAAACGTCCCAGCCAGGTGGCAATGACAGCAGAGTGGTGCAGTGCTTCAGAAGAAGGTGGGCTGTGGTGTATCCACCAGTGGTAGTCCTGTTTAGAGACCACTGACATGTTCTTGGGGCTGGAGTGAGAGCCAGCAGTCTGCTAACAGCCTGTGGGAGGCAGTGCTGACGGGGCACACCTACTCCTTTATGTCATGGGCTGTCGCTAATACAGGTTACCTCCTAAAAACTAGGTTAAGCCAGCTCCTGAGGGAGCCACTAAGCCTGATGCTGTGTTACTGCTAACTGTAAATCTCAGTTGTTCTTAATCACTTCTAAACTAATACCTTTTGCAGCAGTTAGTTAAGGACTGTGTCTACATTGTCTAAAATGAGCAGTGTGTGCATCTTCCATGGTGCAGAGGAGTGTCCAGTGTTGGTTATTTGGTTTTTAGCATTAAGAAATTAGCTTGGCGTTGCCATCCAGGTGAAGCAAGAAGTCTCACTGAGTGCTTACTGTCTGGGGGTTTACTGAAATCTACAGTGACCAGTGGGCTTACAGAAATCCAGAGGCCTCTCTAAACATTTTGAGAGAGATCTCTCCCTTCCTTCTGGCTGCTTTATGTAGTCTGGTTTTCTTACAACACCTGAAAGGAGCAGAGCTGAAGGTAGGCTGATCCCTAAACGATACATGCTAGAACAGCTACAGAGGTTGCTTTAGAGGCCCTGTGATCTAGGGAAGATTTATAGGCCTCATGAACGACTCCCTTGCAGCCCTCAGTTTTGCTGTGCTCGAGATTAACAGATGGGGAACAGCATTCAAATATTGTTCTCTGTCTAAGGAAAGCTAAGCCTTCCTGTGTCACTGACTGATTACCAGCAGGTCAGAGGCTGAATTGTGGCAGTATCTAGGCTAACGCTGCAGCAAAGAGAGCAGTCTTACTGGGATTTTTTAGTTCATTCCACGTTTCTCTGGCTCAAGCTGCAAGCAGCCACTGAGTTTTGCCACTAAGAACAGGTGAAAGACCAGCCATGCAAACCTTTCTGTGGCACGGCAGCTTTTGGCACAGCCTTCACCTTTCCAATTACCTAACTGCCACGGAAGGATAGGTGCAAATGCACCAGATGGCTGGGATTCCCCCTGCATGCTAATCCACCCATGTGAGGCTGTGATTTCCTTTGTGAAGGTCCGAAGACAAGACAGGCTGGAGAGAGAATATTTTTTATTCTATTCTATTTAGTTTATTCTAAATAGATTTAGATGGACAGATCTGTTCCACTGCAGCTGGGAAAAGGGCATTATTCTGACTCTGGCATTTAGCCTACCTAGGAATATAAGGATGTTTTTCCTGCCTACATTTACAATCCCTCCCCTTCTGAGACATAAGAAGATGACACAGTTATCTTTTAGAAGGATAGACCTCTGGTAGCTGAGCCCTCTGGGTTCAAGCTCTTTCATTTTTGCTTTTCTAGATTCTGGCTATTTGTTCAGCGGAAGTCGACCGGCCTCACAGTCATCTCAGTCCAAGGAATCTCCTACATCAGGTAACACCAGGGCTTCCAGAGCAAGCATCTCTGCAGGATTTGCATGGGGGGGGGGTTGAGACACATGACCCAAGTTTAATTCTTTTCTCTCTGCTGAGATCTCAGTGAAAATATTGCAGAGATGGTTCCAACTAAAGGTGGGATTGCCTCAAAATAAAGTGTGGGATATTATTCTCTTCGGGAGAGCTCACACTGAAATCAATGAGACAAAGCAAGGATCCCTTCCCTACTCTATATCTGAATTGAGATTGCTTTGAAGGAAGACTTGAAATTTTTCCTAAGGCAGCTCTTCTGTTTTGCTTTCCCCAGCCCAAGGAACTCCTAATTTAGCTACCCTGTCTGCTCTGTCCTTTTAATCCCATGTCCTCTAGTGACCTGTCTGTTGCACTCCTGACCCCAACTGGATCGGTTGGCTGTTTGTGCTGCCTAAGTGTTTGCTGCTGGAAATGCAGTCTGGGCTAATGCCATCATGGAAACATCCTTGCTTCCTGATACAGCTTCACAGCAGCCTTTAGAGTACATGCCAGAATTGTTCATTCATGTGCAAACAGTACGTGTAATGGAGGTTCTCCTGAAAGGACACGCTAAGGAGAGAGAGCTCCCACAGCTCCTGAAAAAAACATCTCTAGTATAAGTCATCCTTGAGTGCACCAAAGTAAGTGTGTGTGGAATTTCTCCATGTTTTGCAGTGTGGGAATGGGAACAAATAAAGAATTTTAGTGCAAGATTTGATGGAGTTTTGCAATTTCTGTTCCCTCTTCTTGTAAAACTGATAAAGAAAACTGTGCCTCTTGTATATTGGGGTTACAATCTCTTTTCTCTTTGTGTATGTTTCTATTTCAGACCACTTCTCCATGCTGTCAGGCAGCTGTGCTCCCTCCCGCATCCCCTCTCCAGCACCATCAGTGGCTGGCTCTGTGACTTCCAGCTCAGGTTCCTTGCGATATCGCCGGCCGCTCATCAGCCCTGCCCGCCTGAACCTGAAAGGACAGAAGCTGCTGCTTTTCCCATCTCAGAATGAGGCCCTGCTCACCCCAACGAGCTCTGACGAGCACAGCCACTCAGACAGCAACATCTTTGCCACGGAGCTGTCCTCTTTTCCGAAGAAGAACCTCAGCGAGCGGGGAATGCATGGTATGCTGGCAGCCTGCTGCACTCTTGGAAATGCATTTGTAGGAAGAAGTTGACTTGCAAGCAAATCCATGCATCATCTAGGCCGTATAGCAGATGAGAATCCTTTAGGAAAGACCCAGATGGTAACAACTGTTAGGCTACCAAAGCTGCCTTATGAATTCACTGGCGTGGAGAAGCTCTGTTCAGCCAAAGCCGATGTCCTTTTCTCACTGAGTGGTGCCAAGGCGATACTACTGTCACTGCCCTTCCCCCTGCTTGGATAGCTCCTCTAACTACTGCTGTGGTGATGCTGATATGGATAATGCTTGAGACAAGCAAACAGGCAACTTCTGCTGCACAGCAGTGAAACTTGGCCTTTATTTCTAGCTCTCATCCTCAATCCTTTCATGATTTTACCAGGCAGTCATTCATTACCGATGTCTACCTTTTGATTGGTAAATTCTGCTGCTTTTGACTTCCACAGGTGCCTCTTGAATTTTTGTATTTCTTTCTTTTTGCAGATATGAGATCTGCTGTGGAAGGAGGGAGTATTTGCAGCGATAATTCCATCAAAAAGGAGGATCATTCATCACACTCATCTACCTGTGTGGTAGACACAACTACCAAAGGGGAAGATTTGGCAGGCTGGAGAGGTAAGTGCAAGTCCTGTGGGTGCTGCATATGCGTGCAAACATTTCTGTGAGGACATTTGAGATCTTTCCTGTGCTGTGGTAGTGATCTGATCTTAAGATCAAGCAAATTGCTAGTAGCAAAATGGGTCTTCTCTCTGCTATTTGAAGTCCTCAATAAGGCTATTCCTGATTTTTGGTCTGTTTGAAGAGTACTGACAGCTAGAGTGCTAAACTGAGACAGAAGAAAAGGGGTGGGGACGCGGATGTTGCAAAGGGGGAAAAGATGAAAATAGAGCTAAGGAGTGTAGTGGAATCTTTCCTGACAGGGAAACTGCTTCAGCAATTTCTGCTTACAGTGAAAGCAAAGAGAAAGCGCAACATATGTTCACTGTTATTTATCTCATCAGTTCTTTAACATCTCTTCCTACTGTCCCTTTCTCTCTTTGTGTTCTCCTCTTCCACCAAGGTCATTTTGGTAACTCCGCTCTCCGAGGTCTGCTAGCTGTGAGTCTGACTCTCAATGCTATCTTCACATCAGCCTATGTCTACCGGAGTCTGCGCTGATTTGTGCCAACACTTCCTTTCTTGCTGGCCCCACCTGCTTCTGAGAAGACTCTGACAAGAAGAATTCAACCACGGCTTCATGTCTAATGGCTGTGCCACTGGTGCATGCTGTTACTTTTTTTCTTTTTTTTTTTTTTATATAACCACTGTATGCTCAGCTGTCATGACAAGGAACCTAAGTAGCTGCTGCCGTCACTTCCGGGTAGAACATATCACAAGACTGTCCCTGGAGGTGGGAAGCAGGACTCCCAGAAGGCCCTAGTTCAAAGCCAGATGCTGGTCAAATGGCCCATGCGCTTTCTTTCGAAGGAACTGACCTGAGACGTGAGCCTGAAAAGGTGCAAGCTATACTTTTAGGAACTTCCCCCAGCTCTTCTTCCTGACATATTAACCTCATGCTGATGGTGCTGGTAAAATGAGCATTAGAACAATGAGCTGGAGAAGAGGCTTAGTAGTTGGTGCTGGGCTTTGGCTACACCATTCCCAGCCTCTTTGCTCAGTGGTTCCTTTTCTCTTCCCTTTGGCACTCTCCTCTCAACAGTTGATGAACTTTTCTTTAGTTGCCTTAATCTTGCCTGATCACGTGTGACCTGACTGCCCTGTCATATTCTTATCTGACCACGTGCTTCCACCTGGGCTCTGCCCTGAGGCCACTCTCACCAGTTGCTTTTCTGGTCTTACTGGTTGACAGAAGCTGCTCTCTGTGCATACTTCCAGCCAGCACTGTTGCTCTAGGGATGCACAAACCTAAAACAGACATCTTTTGTGGTTTGCAGTAGAAAAAGGAAAGCTATGTTTTGCTTTGCCCAGGAGGCATTAATCCTGTTGTAAAAGGATCCCCACATGATTTGCACCATAGTCAAAGGGCTTCAGCTCACAACTCCAACTGCTGGTGTTTTCACTGAAGCATGGAGTGGCACATCCATAGTTCTTGCTGTAAATCGCACAAATCTATTCTGTTAGGAGGTGTATGAGGAGCTGTCTGATTGTATACATTTCTACATAAACGTAGCTCCTAAGTCTGATGTTGGGCTTTGCCAAGTAACCGTTGAAGGTATTTCTTAGATGCCAATGTGCTCTCAGTGAGAGATGCCAGACCTGCTTCTGAATGGTTTCACGCTGTTAGCTTTTCTAACCCAAAGAAAACAGCCCTAGGTTTTCAAAAAGCAGCTTATAATTTGAGTGCTTCCACTTTCAGGTGAGTCATCAGCATGGCTTAGTATTCAGGGGCCATTTGGAGTATCATGCTGAATGCTCTAAGTGATTTAGCGTATCTTAGGAAACAAAAATAACGATCTTTGTCTTTATTCTTAAGTTCCGAATGCAGAGAGGAGAATTACCAACATGCCAAGGACACTGGTGAAAAGAGAACTGACATTAGCTACGTATTTCCTGAAGCAGGACTGACTGTTAAAAGAGTTTTTATATCGTCTCTTCCTTCGAGCTCCTTTACCTCAAACATCTTTTCTCTTTCCTTTCCCCTCATCCTGTTGTCCAGTGTTTGTACCTTGAATTACAGTGTTACGCTTCCTGTGTCTCTTCCTCTCAGTCCTGCTGCTGTTCCCTTTGTTGCACTCTTGCATGTGCACAGAGATACAGCATATCTGTGCTGATGACTCTCTATCCTGAAGTTCACACCTCACAATTCACAAGAGTGATGATCACCCTTCCTTTCACTTCATTTCTTTTCTTGCATGTTTTTATGGAGTTCTTACCACAGCCTCACTTAACAGATCACATGAGCAATCAGCAGTCAGCACGCAGTATAAGAGTAAGTGGGACTTACTGCTGGTGATTCAATCTCTGAAAAATTAAATCTCTCTGTCTCTTCCATTTCTTCCAGCACCGTTTTAGCAGCTCACTTCCAGCCACGGCACCCCATCCTCCCTTGGTAGCGAGGCTGGTTGTTGCCTGCTTACTGTGCATGCACAGGACAGACCTCTGGCCACACGTGCTAACTGAGAGAGCATGGAGATGTTGTTCCTGGCTCTGCATCTTTCTCTCAAGTTGCTCAAAATGTTGGCAAAGGGCTGCACAGCCAGCACCTCCTGTGCAAGGCCTAGATCCAGGATAGAGACCCACAGCAGAAAGAGCTGGATGTGCTCAGGTTGATGGTTAATTCTTTTGTATCTTGCATGCATTGTTACTCGTAGCTGAACCTGCCCCACAACATTGCTGTTACAAGACTTTTGTCCCCTTTCTAGACTTGTGCAGACTCACTGGAGCATGTGTGTAGGCAAGATGCTAGCAGACCTACTTACAAGCTTTCCCTTAGACCTGTGCTGTATGAGTTTGACGTTGTCCTGGTGTCCTGTGTGTGACATCCCATCTACGGATCCTTGTCCTGACTTCCAGCATAGCCAGGGGCCGCCTATGCAGAGACAAGCCTGCCAGAGAATATAGTGGTTTTGCTTGTCTTTATTATGCCAACAGATGTGCACTGTGATTTCATGTATGCAAGTTTTCCACTTTCACCCCGTCTGCACCGAGTTCACTTACTGTCGCACACACCCGGGGCCCAATTTGGTCTCTGTCTCTACCAGATTGCAATATAGAAATTCCCCTCCTCTCCAGCAACCAAGGAGCTGCAGCCTCTCAACACACCTCTTCTTGCCCATAATCCGCAGCAGGAATTCTTTAAGCTGTTTGAATCCGCTCGCTGAAACTGTTCTTGGATGAGCATTTGGTGACCTTGTCCAAAGCAATATAAAGACTTTGGATTTTATTGCTGAAGAGGGAAGACAACCAACTTTTCATCCTGGTGCTAGAATACACTCCAGTGGTGCTTTCACAGATGTGAAGCCTTTGCTTGAGTAGTACCCAAGAGTTATGTGTGTGTATGTGTGTGCGTGCGTGCATATGTATAAAAACATTTGGAGGGTTTCTTCATTTCAAAAGATCTGAGCCCGCGTTTGTCTTTATATTGTTGGCCTTAATCTAGCTCCTAGATACCATGTCTATCTCGCTGCTGTTTTCTGTATGAAGCTGGTTTGGAGGAAATTAAAGATTAGCTGGTCCCCCTGTAAAGATCTTCTTGACTGGTGATGCTGATCTTCATACAGTGTTGTTTGGGGGTGAAATTTATTTTTCTAATATTTTTCCTACTGTAAAAATTGTTGGAGTGTATGGAATGGAAAAGATTTTTATGAAATGGTCTGTCTGATAAAGATTTGAGTGTTACTTAATAAAAGCCACGGTTAATCATCGTGTGGGACATAAATGAGCTCCATTTCCAGACCTTTTCCATTCCCTGCCTTCCTCTGAAAATGCCCAGGTAGTTTTTTTTGGGGCTATGGACTTGTTAGGCACGTTATGAGACCATGCAGAGACTTTTGGTGATTTTACTGTTCTGAATTAGAAAGAATTTGGATTTTAGAGTCTGGTTCCAGTTCTGTAGTCTGGGTAGTATGGCAGATGCCATGAATATTATACACATATCTATTTGATGGGAAAGATAGAACAAGTTGCTGATTTCAGAAAGTTGTCATTATTTTACGTAAAAGCTTAGACATGAAATTGGTCACTGTGGCAACGTGGGAAAAAAATTATTGCTGGGGTCCATAGGCCAGATTCACTGGAATTTTGCCTGTCTGCTCAAGCAACAAATTTGGCCTGTGAATGTTTTATTCCCACTCCTTCTTGAGCAATGGGAATTTCTACAAAACACTGCTGAACTGACTGGGTTCCTTAAAACAGGGCAGCTGAAATTAAGGGCTTGTGTGGCCTGTGGATGCTGCTATATTTTTTTTCTTCCAAGTACCATTCCTGGAAATAACTATTGTCTTAACCTCTATCATAGACGTTTGTTAGAAGGCTAGAAAGGGCCAATTTGGCCAATACATTTATATTTTAATGTTCATATATATATATATATATATATGCCACAACCAGAAGTGATCATCACTGTTATGAATGGAATGGGTATGGAGAGAGGGTGTGGAGGACAATTTTGAGTCCTAAACTTTATTTCCTGTGACAGAAATACTGTATGTCATGTGTGTGTACTTGTTCGGGGAGCTCTAACACTGTACAGTTTAGTTAAATTGTGCTCCGGGGGAGAAACTGTTCCTTGGAGGTTTTTAGTTCATGCTTTGTGTTTAAAGAGGAATATTTTTCTTTAAAAAATAAAATGGAAAAGTTTTCACCATACTATGTTTTTTTTTTCTTGGGGAACTCTATGTGTTGGGGGGAAAGGGAGATGGTATTTGGGCTTGGGTGTGTGTCTGGTCAAATTAACTCTGATTTCTTCACTCTTGTAAAACTAGTGAGAACTAAGAGGAAGAACACGTGTGTGTGTTTCCCCCAAAGCAAAGAGAAACTCATGGCTGTGATTTGGAGTGGAAGGAGAAGTACACTGTTACACTTTGAAGCCTTAAAGTTCGACTCAATGATTCTTGTGTGTCCTACTCATGATATTCTATGAAGGCTTTCCTTCCTCTAAAAGGAAAGTCATCTCCTGCCATTAACTTCTCCTCAGATGTGGCAGCAGCCCTGTAAGACATTGCTGTCTTGAACTTCTGCAGGATAAGGGACCATTGTGCACGTTCCTGTTTCCTCAGAGCCCTGATCCTGGATGATAACTCTGGTAGAGCTGACGTGGTAACACCGGCACAGTATCACGTGGATTCTCAGTATTTTGGAGGGCAGGGTGTGGAGTAAGGGAGATACAGAATGCAGGTGCTTTGTTCCTGATCTATCCTCCAAACATGCGTATGTCAGTAAGAAACCCAAGGGGATTATTTATATGGATAAGGACTGGGCACGTGTAAGGGATGTTCAGGGAAACCCCAGAACTCATCCCAAGATGTACACATGCACAGAGCATCGGGACAGTCCAGTTAAATGCACACTTTATGATTTGTGTTCATTTGTCATTATTTATTTATTTATTCCTCTGTGAGATGGGGGCTGAGAGTCTTTCCAAGGTTTTGCTTTTTGGTTTGTTTTCTAATTTTAAATTTGTTTTCACTTTGCAATGTAAATTGATGGTGCAGAAGAGATGAGTGAAAAGCTTTTAGACAGACTTTCTAAGCATAGGCTTGAAGGTTGGAGTTTTCCTCCATTTTCACTTCAATGATTTGTGTTGTATTTCGTTAAAATGTGCTGCTAATTTGTTTTAAAGACCTGGCAATGTATTGTGAGGAGCAGCAGAGGGAACCGGGGGTGTTTGGTCTGGAGGAGACTCAGGGAAGACCTCATTGCTCTGCAACTGCCTGAAAGGAAGCTGTGGGGAGCTGGGGGTCGGCCTCTTCTCACAGATAACTAGCAATAGGACCAGAGGGAATGGCCTCAAGTTATGCCAGGGGAGGTTCAGGCTGGAAATGAGGAGACATTTCTGTCAGAAAGAGCAGTCAGGCATTGGGACAGGTTGCCCAGGGAGGTGGTGGAGTCACCGAACCTGGGGGTGTTCAAGGTTGGAAGTGGTGCTTAGGGACATGGCTTAGTGGGCTATATTGGTAGGGGATGGTTGCACCTGATGGACTAGAAGGTCTTTCCAAACTTTAGTGATCCTAGGATTCAGTGATTCCCTCCATTTTCCTGCAGCTCCTTCCCCTCCCCAGGTGCCCGGGGTCATGGCAGCTGGGCTGCCCTCTCCCTGCCCCCCTTTCCCCCACTCCCCAATGTTTGGGTTTGCGAGCGAACCCAACCGCCGTCCTGACCCTCCTACGACCCCAAACCAGCCGTTTTTGGGGCGGGGAAAGGAGAAACACCGGCTTTTTTAGAGGGGGCACCGCGGGGCCGCCACCACAGCGGGCACCATGGGCGAAGCGCAGCCGGGGGAGCCGCGTCCATCCCCGGGCAGCCCGGGGCCGGCGGAGGAGCTGCAGAAACCCCCTTATTCCTACGTGGCCCTCATCGCCATGGCCATCCGGGCCAGCCCTGAGCAGCGCCTACCCCTGAGGGGCATCTACGCCTACATCTCCAGCCGCTTCCCTTACTACCGCTGCTGCCCCAAGGGCTGGCAGAACAGCGTCCGCCACAACCTCAGCCTCAACCCCTGCTTCCTTCGCCTGCCTCCCCGCCACGGCCTCTCAGCTCCTCGCCGGGGCGGCGAATGGGCCCTGGACCCGGCTTCTTTCCACGACATGTTCCCGGGGGGCGACTACCGCCGCCGCCGCCGCCGGCCCCAGCCGCCTCAGAGCAGCGCCGCCTCCCCCAGGGCTCCGCCGCCGCTCCCCGCCTGCCCCTGCCCGGCTTTGCCCGCCTGGGCCCCGCTGTGGGGCTCGGGGCCGCCGCCGCCGCCGCCTGTGCCCGCCTGGGCCCCCGCTTGGTGCCCGGGGCCGCCGCCGCCTCAGCCGCCGCCGGAGCTGGGACCTTGCTGCTTTGTGACCGCCCTGAGCGCCCCTCCGAGCCCCGAAAGCTGGAGATAAAAGGGATTTGAATAAAAAAAAGGGCCTCGGCTGCGTGAGGGGAGAATGAGGCTGGAAGGGGCTTCGTGCTGAGGGGGGTTGTTGAGGTGTGTGTGGGTGCCTCGTGTCAGTGCTCTGTCGGGAGAAGGGAATTGCGTTACCTGAAGCGATTTCAGTCTGGATTATTATTATTTTCTATTATTTATTTATGGTTTTGTTGTGATTATCAGTTTGGCTTATTATTTTTTAAAAAATTTATGATTTTGTTGTTCGAACCTGCAAGCCTGAAGGGGTGCTGCGGAGCTTGCCCAAACTAATCTGTGTTGTGGTATCTTCAATCTGGAAATACACGAAGAGCCGTGAAGCACCAGTCCTTGTAGGACTGTTATATTTGGTTATGTGCAGAAAAAGCATTTTTTCAAGTGTCCTTAAACTCATTTTTGAGCTTTTATTTCTTATATATGTATACGTAAAATGTATTTTTATTCTTTGTGGAAAAAAAAATGGCTTTAATACTGGGAATGATGTGTATTTTTCATTTTTGTGAAACTTTAATACTGGGAATCTTATGATTTTGTATTTAAAGCAGAGCTATATGAGGTTTTACATACAGTCAAGAGTTATTTTATACCGTTTCTTGTTACAGATGTTTACATTTATTCTTGACACATTTCTTATAAATAATGCACTAATTATAAGGGTATTTTCCTCTTAATTTCAGAGGAGTGCTTCCTGTATTTTCCCCTCAAAATAACCGTCAGGGACAAAGCGTGCTTCTAATAAGATTTGTGTATTTAAGTTTGTTAACGAAGAGTTCAAATACTGTTATGAGTGCTGCAGAGCAGCACTTGGTTATATGTTGTATTTTATGACTTGTTCAATAAGCACTACTTTGTAAGAGCTCATGGCTTCAGAAAGTACTTGAAGTAATTTGGCAGGTTTTTGCTCATCCTTAAAAAAGAATGCAACTTGAACCCAGTTTTGTAGTTTGTATTTTATATTTCCCTGTACTTAAGAAGAGTTTCTGAACATTGTCTTTAAATTCTAACGATACAATGCCAATAAAATGCTGGAAATACTGTTAAAGTCATCTGGGGCAACAGCATTGAGGTTGTTGTTACAGAAATCCAACATATTAAAGATATTGCAGTTTTATTATTTTCCAGATAATTTTTTGTTTTCTTTTAGTCTCATTTTTCTTGTAGCTCCTAATAACCTTCCACACTTAACCACTTGCAGGCTCTATTTGGCTATAAACTAAATATAGTGCCCGAAGTGCAACGCAACTATGTAAGAGTTGCTGCATCTTGAAGCTGGTGGTAAGTCTGTATGTATGCAAAACAAAGACTTCTAGGGTTCTCATTTTAAATATATACGTTTAGAGAAGTTTTACTTCCCCAGTGGACATATGAATCATACACGTTATGTGTATGTGTTGCTACCTGTATGTTCTAGTTTCACCTGAGACTTCTACAGAGAAATAATGTTGATTAAATTATCCTTTCTGTTTCATGAGGGTGGAGATACTGTAAGTATCATTGTCTTGCTGAGGCTCTGGTTCCACAGGGGCTGCTGTGAGCACACTTCAGTCTTTGATTTCTTAAGGCTTCTTCACAACTAAATTCACAGAGTGCCAGTGCCTTTGAGCAATGGGTAAAAAGCTGTATGTGAAGCATGAAATGCTGAGTGTCACTGCAGGCAGGAGAAGCTGTGAAACAAAATACAATATATCAGGCAGAGCATAAGAAAGCGGCCTGAAGTTTCCAGTTAAACCCTATTTTAAGATTAGCATCTTGAATAAAAGACCACAGGAGTTCTGTGCATCAAGAAACACTCAGAATGTTATCAAGTTATATGTGGCAGTTGCAGGAATTTTACATTGGTTCAGCTCCTGATTTTCATCTCACTTACAAATACACAGGTATCTCAAGCTTCTGAGGACGTACAGAAGAGTAAAGAGCTTTGTGTTCTCTTCCCAGTGGGTGCATGTGTCGTGTTGGTCCTTTGTTCCCTGTTTTAGTCGGTAAGTGTTGTATTTGCCAGCACTTTATTGGTTCCACGGCATTTCCATTCATGTGCGCCACTAGATGGTGCGTTTGCACCAGCACAGCAAATCTGGGGGGATCGTTTTAGCAAGGCTGAAATTGGTCTTTGGTGAAGGATTGCATCTCCATCCCTTCTAGACAATGAAGCAATGGGGACGTGTAGGAGCAATGTCAAAGGAAGACGGCAATGAGAGTTAACTGCCCTTTGCAACTGTAGTGCTTTCTCCTGCTTGCACCCTCCCAGCAGCAGGACACAGGTGAGCACAGATGAAGCAGCCACAGTCCCACTGGCACAGAGTCGGCTCTCATTCAGGGATGTCTTGGTTCCTCCAGAGGTTCCTTCAATTGTCAGCAGAGGTGGTCTCTTCCAAGGAATGTTTTGGAGCTTTTAGATGAAGTCCTTTCTCTGAATCACTTTTTATAGGAGCACTTCTCATCGGTTATTTACAAATTCAAACCAAGAAGCTTTAGAGCCTGGGAAGACTTGCAGCCAGCAAAGAGAGGTGCTGGGAATCCCCCTCAGTCTTGCTCAGACACTCACACACTCATGCTGTGGCTGGAATAGAAAACTGCAGTGCTGGCTGCATTTGACCAGGGAGATTGTTCAGGGTTTGCATGGCTTTTCTAGTAGCTCAGAAGTACTGGGGCCTCTCCTGTGTTTTGCATCCCTCCAGCAGCAGACGCTCTTACTGGTGATCCTCTTTTTCTTGGGTTTGTGACTGCATTTAGAAAATTTGACCTCTGCTTATTTTTCTTCAACTTTCTTCTTTGGTCAACATTCTTATAGGTTTTATAAATAAACCCCAGCACAGCATATCCCTTTGCAAGCAATACAGAGTCTTTGAAAATGGCTAAGAAAATAGTATGCTCCCCTTTCCCACCAGTAGACATCAGGCTGCTAAATTCTTTTCCATTGTGTTGTCTCACATCTGTCTTGGCTTATTTCCCTCATTGGGTTTAGCAACTGAAGCAGTGGCTTTGTGTGTCATTAACAGTGGAAAAGAAGGAGAATTCACTCATGGACAGTGCTGAATTAGTACAGATGTAAGTCTTTTAATTGTCAAAATCCAAACTAATTCCAGAAACACTGGCCAAAGCTGGCTTTTGACCATGTGTTTTTTTTCTTTTCTTTGTTGCATCATCAGGATTCTTGTGACATTGATTCTTTTCCTTTTGTTTTATCCCAATAATTGGTTGACGTAAAAATAGAAGTGGTTGTGTGTAGATACCATTGGAAATACCCCGTATGAAATGGAAGTCGCAGTGTCCCCTCATTTATCAGGGGTTTGCTTGGCCTTTCTGTCTCTTGCTACAATGTTTTTGCCCCTAACTGTTGCTTCCTCATCCCCACCCTTCTAATCTTTTAGCCTTGTGTAAAAGACTGAAAAGATAAGGGTGTGAGCAGGAGGCTCCTGCAGAATAGGAACCTTCTGTCAGAAGCTGCCAACGGAGGGTGGGTTGGGAGAGCTGTGAGTGCTGAGAGCCACGGGCAAGGTGACCTCTTCAATAGGGAGCTGTGACTTGGGCAGGCTGTTCCTTAAACAATCAGGCTTTATGGGCATAAAAATGACGCTGGGAGCTGTTTGGGTACAGCAGGTCATCGCTGAAGTCAATAGATTGTAGAGTGGTCCACAGGAGATATGTGAAGCTGCCAGACTGAAACCTTGGGAATAAGAGGATTACGTATTTTTCCTTGAAGTTTACAGCTTAAAATGCATGCAGAGCTGCCTGCGGGGTTGTGTCAGTTTTGACCTGTTCCTTTTACTCTGTGGCCCTGAGACTTTCAGAGCAAGAACGAGTTTGCATTACCTCCCAAAGCCAGCCGGGGACCAAGAAAGCCCCAGCCAAACTACGAAGAGATTGATGGTTTTCAAAAGCAGCCCAGAGCTGTGAGTGGCCGACTGCAGAAGCTCTAAAAGGGACAGATGGGCAGGAGTTGAGTCTCAGACCTCCATTCCTTCAAAAATCCCTCTTTGGATTCCATAATTGTGGCAAAAATCCCTGCTCCCAGGGGAATGAGGGCAACAAGGGAGCTCTGGGAGGGAAATGTGTGGGATCATGCCCTGTCTGGAGGGAGGTAAGGTACAGCTCCCACAGCCCCGATGCTCTGGGTGTCCTGCACCCCCTGCAATCTGTTTTCTGCTCCAGCCTCCCCACAGCAAAACCTCCCAAAGAGGAAAGTGCAGAAGTGGGAGCGCTTCATGCTCCGTCCTGCCACATAGGAGTGGACAACCGGTGCTAGGACTTGTGCCCACAGCGCAGCAGATGTATGAGGAGCCCCCGATACCCCACAACCTATGGCTTTGTCTGGCTCTCTTGACACCGGCTACACTCCCACCTCCTTCCCTCGAGACCTGCCGAGCAGAGAAGCACTTCCCTCCACGCTGCTGGATTTCCCCTCCCGCAGTGGCTCTCCGGCCATGCGGCTCCGTGACCGGTTTCCCGTCAAGAGCAAGCACGGCGTTTCTCACCCAAAGCGTGGCCTGTGGTAAGGGGGTGGGAAGGGAAGAGGGGGTGGGGTGTGTGTGTGTGTGTGTAGGGGGGGAGCTGTTGCTGCTGCAGTTTCATGCCTCAATCTGTATTCTCTCTCTCTGCATGGCTTCCTGTTTTTTCACACCACTGCTCTTTGAAACAACAAGCTGCAAGGGAGGACGGGGTGGAGGTTAGAAGGCTGGAAGAAGCCTCCGGTGATGCTTGCAGGAGATCTGGAGCTGGCTCTGGAATAGACACCATGTGCTTACGTGTTTCTCTGGGTGAGATCCTGCTGCTGTGTACCAGAGAAGCAGCGCTCTGAGGGAGGTGATGCTGTGGTACGCACGTGCTCTGCAGAAATTCACGGCTCAGCTCGGTGCGACTGCAGCAGAACCGTCCGGGCACTTTCCTCTTTGGCAGTTGTCTTCCTGAGTTGCTCTTGGGTGGACGGAACTAGAATTTCCCTATACTTTGGCATCCTGGGATAGTCAGAAGTAGTCAGTGTCAGAATAATACTGAAAGATGAACCACCAGTGCTGAATCCTGCAGCATTTGGGTGCTTATGGTAGAAAAAAAATGCAGCCCAGTGTGCAAAATGAACAAGTGTCTTGTTTGAACATTTTCTGGTTGCCTTACCTTTCCGTGACCTCAGGCAGTTAGCAACATGTACAAAAGCTGGACAATGGCAAACTGCTCAGAGAAGGGATTCCCAAACTGCGAGCCAGGCAGCAATTCCTAACAGTTCACAAAAACCTGAAAATTGTGAGTCCTGACTTGTGGTTTTCAGATTGGTATTCACAGAATACCAACAAGTTGCATTAGGAACTCTGCTATCGGTGTAATTCCTCTATCTACTGTTACTCTCCTACCAGAAGGGGAAATGGTATGTTGGACCATCAGAGAAGGCAAAATGTGGAAAAAAAAAGGTATCTCTAGGACATCTCTTGGATGAAGGAACTGCACCATGAGGTGTCCTGCTTGAGTCAGCCCTTAGCAGAGTCCTTTCCTGAACAGAGCTCCTTACCAACATTGTTTGAAAACATTTTTTTTTTTTGGTTTCCCACAGATTTAACATTTAAAGTCCCTACTCTGGTGAAATCCATAATTCATCTTCAGTAGATGAATAACCTGTAGGGCTGAGGAAGCTGCTGTACCGCATGGTACCAGTAATACCATGTTCATTTGGTATCAGATCTGCGTTCTCACTCAATGCCACGTGCCCTAGAGAAAGGCACAAGCAGTCCTGCACTTAAGTCAGTGTGATTGGTGTAGAACGAGAGGCTATTTTTCTTGTGAAATCAGTGTTGCTGCTTTGTCTGGCAGTGAGTCAAAAGATAAATTCTTTAGAAGCTAAAAAATGGTGAAGTACGGGGCTAGATGGCTGCAGATAACTGGCTCAAGGCACACAGCACATACCTACGGGTTTTTCTGGGCCACTGCTTTTACTTGTGACATCAGCCCCTCGGTTTGCTCACAAGTGACTTTAAAAGCAGCTCCTGTGGATGATGGCTGCAGAGTCCAGAGGAAGGTAAATAGAGGATTGAGTCTCAAAGGCTTGTTCTGGCGATGGTTCCCCTCCGCAGGAGGTGGATGGGCAGCCAACTGAGCACAGCTGCTTGTGGAGTTCCTCCTTTGCCAGACAGTGCTGGAGGAAGGAGATGAAAAATGAGGAAAATTGCATCAATTACTGAGCCTTGTAAAAATAATTAGCAAGACAACAGCAGGCAAATGGGTGGGGAGGAGGAGAAAAACAGCTGCCAAAGCGTGGACAGATAGGACTCAGTTGGAGCTAGAAAAGGAAGGGGAATTGGATAAGATGCCCCTTTAATCAGGGAGAGAGGTGAAAAATTAATGTATGAGCTTTGCATGCAGATTAGAGCAGGGCAAGGTTGAAAGGGACATCACCTTTAAATTGCCCACTCTTGGCTCCCATCAGACTCTTGCAGATAAATGCCATTTCCATGGCTTGTTCTCAGCTGCTGTTACTGCTGGTACCTGCTCCGACCAAGGAGAGGCATAAGCAGCAGAAGCAGCTTGTGCAAATGCTAAGCAAGAGAAGGGTTGCCTGCTTTTCTGCATCTGATCTGGACTGTAAAGGAGCTGGCCAGCCTGCTGGTTGTGCTGGTTCCCAAATGATAGGAACAGGCTTCCATTAAGATTTAATTTTCTTCTCTTCTTTTACAGTTCCCTCCAGAGGCGCCAGCAGCCGTATGAATGATTCTTGCACTGTAATGCTGTGGTCTGTGCTTTGTGGGCCGAGGTGTCTACTGCGATACAAGGCTGCAGTTAATCAGATTTAGCAGGGAGTCTAGAGGCTGAGTGCAGACTGTGCTGAATGTGACTTTGTCACTGGAGCTTTCGTGGTGATGCCCATTCATGTCTTTCAGATAAATTCCTGGAGCCGCTATCTTCCTGCATTTGTGTCTCACCACATCTTCCAGGCACCTCTGCCTAGGATTTAGCAGAAGCTCTCTCCTCCTCCTGAAGAGCTGCATCTGTCTGCTCTCTCACCTGGCTCTATACAACCTCCTGCAGAGATCTGTTCCTACAGAACCTGAGCAGATTTTTTGTAAGCCTGTGCAACGCTTGCAGGTAACGTAAAAGCTGCAGCTGTCTTGTACTTTAAAGGAAACAGCCCATCAGCAGGCGATTCCCACTTCTCCCATGAGAACATTGTAGGGCAACAGCTAGAAAGGGTGGAAAAGCACTGTAGGGTGAGGATCCGTTGCAGCCAGATGACTTCTGAGCACTTCTAACGTGGAGAACTGCTGATGTGCTCCCTTCCTTAGGGAGAATCGACTGCACGTATGTAGCAGAGGGTGACTCAGTCACTGGTGATAAGATCTAACAGATGTATCTTCACTGAAGTAAATAAACAAGTATCAGCATAAAATCGATGGCCATCTTTACTAGAGCTCTGCTGCCTCTCTGTAATGGAAAGTTTCAGGGAAACTTTGGGGGAATTTGCACACATGCAATCAGGGCTGCTGACTCCTCATTCACAGCAGAGAAAAACATCGTGTTCAGAATCAGTTCTGCTGTGCTTATTTTTTTTTGCTTTTTTTTTTTCTTCATGTCCTCTTCCTCTATTATTTTTTTCTGTGACATAAGAGAATCGGTGTGAACAGCTTTAATTATCTGATACAAGACAGATCCCAAGGGAGTAAATAGGGAGTACCTCTAGACAATTCCTACTCAGTGTCTCTCCTGATGCTGTCAGCATGCAGGAAGACCATTTTCTCCTGAAACCAGATGGCTTAAGCATTGTTCAGGGAGCTCTGCTCACTCTTTGCTAATTCATGTGTGGGCAGAACTGCCAGGACACGCTTGCCTATGTGAGCTTGTAGCTACAAGGGCTCCAAAGCAGACCAAGGCAGCAGGTACAACCATCTGTTGACAACCTGGAGATGCTGACCATCAAGAAGGTGATGAAAATATTAGTCAAGGTTTGTTTGTCCCATGTGTGGCCATTTGCTCTCTCTAAGGTGCCTGAAGGGGAAGACTTTGCCCTGTGAGCTCTTTTCTGTGCAAACTTTTCAGGTGTTCTCATCTTTACTTCCTTGCAGCATAGCAGGATTTCAGATGCCATTATTTGTCATCAGCTGTGAACCAAGTAGATTTGGAGCTGCCTTCCCTCCTTTGGCTAGCAGGACCTCACAAAAGAGGTTCAGGCAAGAGGAGCAGGGAGAAATGCTCTGGACTGAACAGTTCCCAGCTCTGAGTACTCCCTCATCCACTGAACATACTTGTGTCTGTTATGAGAGAGGAAGGAAGACAAAGGTTGGGTGAAGACAGGAGCCTGGGGGGGTAAGAACTCAGCTACTCGGGGAAATGCAGCCAGATGCAGGTATTGGTGCATCTCTCCTTTTGCAATGTGTATTGCAAGTCTCTGTGGATCTGATTCAGCAGTGGGAAAACAAGATCAGGAGTGGATTTTGAGGGGTTGTTTGCCTTTTTTATTTATTTTTATATATATTTTTTTCCATTTGCTGATCTGAAGTTTTTCACTTGGCTCTTTAGGTAGATGCAGGGAGAAGATTGGTGTTTTGGGAGCAGAAAGCAGCCTCCATTCCCCACGCCTCCTGACAAAGAGAAATCACTGGCAGCGTGCACGGGAAGAAGCGGCAGTGATCAATAACAGACCAGAGGAAGAGAGAGATGGTGAATGAATAATGCACGTGGAGGAGCAGTTGGGGCATGACCTGCTAGCACTGCATGGCCTGTAAGTGGGTGCTGTGCTGGGGCTGTAATGGTGCTTTATTAAAAGCCCATATGGCTTCATCGGGAGCTGTGTGTTGTGGAAGGGCGTTCGTCTGGCTCTGGGCTGGGAGCTGGCGCGAGACGAGGGCAGCAGGCTGGGAAATGGCACAGAAAGAGAAATGTTTCTGCAAAAGGAGAAGTCTGAGGAGGAGGAAGGATGTATTTTTAGTGTCGAAGGGCTTGTGAATTTCTTTTGCTTTTGCCACAAAAGGGATCACGTGTGCAGTAGCTAGGTGTATTTTTGTTGGGGGCTTTTGGGGCTGGGGAGGAAACGTCTCTCGAGGCCCCTTTTCTTTGCAAGCCTTACTTTAGGGGGTTGAGCGAGCATCTTGGCTCCCCAGGGTGTCCCAAAGGAACCTGCCAGACAAATAGGTGGGTGGTGGGCACTCACAGCAGCAGCTGCCAGGAAATGTCACCACCAGGGGTTCCTCGGGGCATCGTGCTGAGGTTTGCTGACCTGCTGGGCCTCACATCTGGCAAGTAGAGAGCCACAACCAGAGGCACGGGCGCTCCTACAAGGAGAAACTCTGCTTTGCTGACACTGAAGGAGATGTAATAGTTCCCTTTTGTGGTGCCTTGTTCCTCACTGCTAATTCTTTCAAAATTTTTCTTTCTAGAAGTAGAGTTTTAGGCTCAGGGCATGGGAAAGAAGCTACATCCCTTAATTTGGCACTGGAAATGGTGTTTGGTCTGTGTTTTCATGTGGTTTCCAAATTGCCTAGTGTCTGCAGTGGCAGCATTCATTCAGTGGGATCATTTCATTCTCAAAGTCACGCAAAGCAATGTGGTGTGGCAGCGTGCTCTGGTGATATTACTGTGCTGCACGTGGAATGTTTGTACCCACAGAGCTGGTGCTCAGGGAAAGAGGCTGCATGAATGAAATCGATTTTTTCCATTCAATTTCCAAGCTTGATTCTGAAAGGCTCACCTTGCCCCAGTTGTGGATGATCTTAGTGGCACAACCTGTCTCCCTTTTGGCAACGCTGTGCCTCTGTTTTTTTCCTGTAGGCAGCTAAGCATCACATCTCTTGCTGCTTGGGAGCTCTGCTAACCGTGTGTGCCTGTTACTGTCCTCTTCTTACCCCTGCTACCCTCTTGTTTCACCCAGGAGACATTGTCCTGTGTCTTTCTACCCAGAGCTTTCGGAAAAAAAGAGTAAATTGAAAATCTGGCTCCTGACTCTAGCTAATTTATCTCAGTCGCTCAAAACATTACACAGCAAGTGGGCAGGAGGAAGGAAATGAAAGGTTGAGTTTTTTCCTGTTGCAGGTAACGAGGAAATAAAGTAGGAAACTCAAAGCAATATTATCTTGCTGAGCTCCTGTCAGCACCACAGGCTGCGGGTGCTGTTTTGTTGCTTCTCTCTGATGATTTGCTGCTCCTGGAGCTGGGGGAAAGCTGGATTTAAGGTCTTTGAGGTGGCGCAGAACAGGCTTACAGCAGAGATGAGTTAGAAAGGGAATTTCCAGGCAACCTCGATAAGACGAACATTTTATCTTGAAATGTTCATGTTCAAAAGGGATAGGTGGCAGCGGTGTGAGCTGCTCTGTGCTTGTCAGCAGAAGCTGGCTATCAGGCAGCAGGTTGGAATAAAATTGCATCAAATTCAGGCTAAGATCTTTTTAATTTTACAGCCGAATAACTGAGTAGTTGGCTATAAAAAGATTTATAAGTAATAATAACATTGGGGTACTTTAATATAATTGGAGTAATAATGACATTTCATATAATTTAATATTAAGGTAATAATATAATTGGGGTAATTTGTGATACGTTGCTGTTCTTCTGTTAAAGTGGAGAAATTGCAGAGTGGAAGCCCCACTACTCACATCTATACAGAGTACAAATATGAGGATAGATTGCAAGCCTTTCTTCGCAAGGAATTAATTTCTGCATGTGGAAACTGCCATCACTCAATTGATTTAATAATTGAATTCATATTCAGTGTTGCTGACCAATATGGACAATTGTATTGTCTGTTTAGGAGCAGGTTATTTACTTAATGTGCTAGATTCAGCTAAAACACCAGTGAAATGGGTGGAACTTTTTTTTCTTAATTATCAAGTATTTTCCTTGTCTTAGGCCTTGATAATTGTGCAGCATGACCTTCCAGGAAACTTGAAGGAAATAGGTTTTTAAAAAATATCTGTTGAACTTTTTCATGGGTGCTGAGGGAAGGCAAACAACCAGAAGGGCAGTGCTTGGGCTCTGAAAAGCCGCAGTGGGGACGAGGACCATGTGTCTTGTATGTGCAGCACACAGCCTGCAAAACACAATGACGCACGATTTTTGCTGAAGAATCTCCCTTTTTCTCTTATTTTTCTCAATTAAGTCCCAGAGAACAGCAAACTCTGCAACTACTGATAAAAATTCCCGATGACCCGAAAGGATGTGGTCTGAGAGTGGGAGTGAGTTGGGTTTTTTGTCAATAGCTTAGACACGATGCTTATGTAAAATTCACTTTCTGCGTGTCGTGCTTTGCAGTTTTGCATGTTGTTCATCTCTTTGTTTGTGCTTGCCAGGCGTCATGTGCATGCTCTTCCACCCAGCACAGCAGTGTGATGCTAACTGTTGTCTCGTGGAGCTCAGCAAGAAGGTGAACGGGGAGCAAAAGCCAACCATGTCCCAGGGAACCCTTCCCAAGGGCTGGCAGAAACCATCCTTCAGGCTGTGATGCGTTGCTATCCATGCTGGGGCAGATGGCTTTGTTTTGGGGCTGGTGAAGACCTTTTGCGATGGCCATTCCCCACCAGTAGGCTCTCTAGACTCCAGTTTTAGGTGACTGATTTTGAGGATGTTGCTAGTTGGCAGTACTCTTTGCTTTTTCTATGGAGGTGGCAGAAAAACAGCAACAAAGACATCAAAAAAATGTTTATACTAAGAAAATACCAGGAAATATACGCTTCTGTTTTATTTATTTATTTTTTTTCTGTTAGGCATCCCCAAATGTTGCTCTTTTAAATCCCATAAGCTCCAGAGAAACCCAGTGTCCATCATGAGGAAGGGCCATGTGCTGGCATTGGATGGTCCAGCCCTGTGTTGGGGAGTTGCTTGGTCTTTTTGAGCCTGAATTCTGTGAATGAGGAAGGGAAAAACAGCACTGAACAAGGAGGGCAAAAAGGCAGAATATAAAATTCCATTGTAACAAGCTGCCCAGGTTGCTTAGAAAATATTACCATGGTTGTTTTTCAGCAGCCCAAGTTCATAGTATCAGTCTGTGCATCACTGGTAGAAGATGTGAGAGTATCACACAAAACAGTCCGGTATGGTATCAGATGTTGTAATTTGCACATCTCAAACACTCATCTCTTAACTGATCCAGTGCTCAGCACTGCTCTTCCTACCAGCCCGACAAGGAAACAAAGGCAGCGAGTTCGCAGCGCGGCCGGTGGCGTGGAAAAGGGCAGGGGGAGACCTGCAAGAATCCTCCGAGGCAGCAGAGTTAGCTGCAGAAATGCATCCTGCTGGTGCTCCCAGCCTGACTCAAACACTGGCTGCTGCCACGTTTTAAATGATGAAGCAGTAATAATAAACAGTGAAGCTTTTTATTTTGAGAGGCACACTCGCCCTTGTAGTTACAATGTAAGAGCTTAATGTAGGCAGTGCTTACCCGGTACAGTTTCCCAGTCCCAGTTGGTTTAGGCTGGCTGGAATGTTTGCTTCTGTGAAATACATCTTCTCTTCTTTGTAAGTATTTTTAAAGACTTAATAAAAACAAACATTATCTATTTTTGGACCAAAATTAGAGGACAAAAATTTTGCACTTTCCTCATACCAGAAAGAGGCTGTTTTTCCTTCGACACTGTTCCCAGGGTAAAAGCTGTGGTTTTACCTCTGGCTATGTAAATGACTCTTCATCGATTTGCCTCAGGTGGAAATTCCCCCATTCATAAATGGAAATTTTAATCTGCTAACAGTAAAAATAAGACTTTTTTTTTTTCTTTTAAGCGAAAGCCAACTCTCATTTTTGGAGGAAAAAGAAAAAAATTCTCTCTTCACATTCCTTTTCTCCTTGTTGCCGTTGATGACTCATGCAGTGCCCTTTGCTGCTTAGTCCCGATGCTTAAGTGATTTTTCAGGTGGCTGTTAAAATTCTTAAAGCATTTCTCACTGGCATCCGTCTCGTTTTGTAACACGATACGTATATTCTGTTTATTACGGAGCAAATTTATTTGCTTTCTGAACGCTGCTTAATTTGGAATACACGCTTTAAACATCAAATAAAACCAAGCAAATAAAAACCACCCAAACATAACAAAGTCATGAGTTTGTGCAAAATATTTAGTGCAGGCAGGCACCTGCATCTGCCTTCAGCGTGCAGACAGCCACCCACGCAGAGGTCTGCAAGATCCGGTCTTGCTGGGAAACAGTCATTAAAGACCCCTAAAATTCCAAAACTAGGAAGGTGAAGGTTTTTAATGTTATGACTTTATCACCAAAGTCCAGTATTATATTTATATTTCTGAGTACCCAGCACTTGTGAACTTAAATTGGACTTCTGCTTGTAGGAAGACTGGGTGCTGCTTTTCTTCTGATAGCAAAGAAAAGGATCCAGAATCCCCCAACAGTAATTTCAAGATTAAATAGCGTGGTTTAGTTAAGCAGGCAGTTATAACTCATAATGGAAATTTGTGGTTTTATAGATCACTTACTTTCTGCAAAAAAGAAATACTCCCAAGAAATTGTGTTGCAGAACAAGAAGAGGAAAGTTGTTTGTCACTCCTGAATTGTGAGACAAGGGACGTGGCCTCTGTAGATTTCTGTTGGACTTATTTTGGTCTTGTATCAAAAAACATCTTCAACAGAAGTGAGTTTTTGAGAGGTACTCCTTGGGGGGAGGGAATGCTGTGTGTATGTATGCAATTAGGTTTTGAAGCGATAAAGAAATAAACAATATTCTGTGTTGACGCCGATGCTTTGAACTTCTGTAGCACCACCAGCTAAAGACCTCAGATGACTTGT